TCCCTGGACCCGGCTGAATTAGCCAACTATCGTCCAGTCTCCAACCTTCGTTTTGTGGCGAAGGTTGTTGAGAGCGTGGTGGCACGACAACTTCCCCGGCACCTGGATGAAGCTATCTATCTAGACCCGTACCAGTCGGGCTTCAGGCGGGGGTACAGCACAGAAACGGCATTGGTCGCGTTGGTGGATGATCTCTGGAGGGCTCGGGACAGGGGTTGTTCCTCTGTCCTGGTCCTATTAGACCTCTCAGCGGCTTTTGATACCATCGACCATGGTATCATGCTGCAGCGGTTGAGGGGGTTAGGAATAGGGGGCACCGTTTTGCGGTGGTTCTCCTCCTTCCTCTCCGACCGCTCGCAGTTCGTGTTGGCAGGGGGGCAGAGGTCGACCTCGAGGCATCTCGCATGGGGAGTGCCGCAAGGGTCGGTCCTCTCGCCCCTCCTCTTCAACATTTATGTGAAGCCGCTGGGTGAGATCATCCGTGGTTTTGGGGTGAAGTGTCATCTGTACGCTGACGATACTCAGCTGTACATCTCCACCCCAGACCACCCCAACGATGCCCTTGATGTGATGTCCCACTGCCTGGAGGCCGTGCGGGTCTGGATGGGGAGGAACAGGCTCAGACTCAACCCCTCCAAGACCGAGTGGCTGTGGCTTCCGGCGCCCCGATATAGTCAGCAGGTGCCATTGCTGACTATTGGGGGTGAATCTTTGCCCCCCACAGAGAGGGCTCGCAATCTGGGTGTCCTCCTGGACGCACGGCTGTCTTTAGAAGAGCACATGACGGCCGTGGCCAGGGGGGCCTTTTATCAGGTTCGCCTGATTCGCCAGTTGCAGCCCTTTCTGGACCGGGACGCCTTGCGCACGGTCACTCATGCCCTTGTCACCTCCCGGTTGGACTATTGTAATGCTCTCTACATGGGGCTCCCCTTGAAGAGCACTCGGAGGCTCCAGCTGGTCCAGAATGTGGCCGCGCGGGTGGTTATGGGCGCAACCCGTTATGCCCATGTGACACCCCTCCTGCGCGAGCTGCACTGGCTCCTGGTGGTTAAAGCGCCTCCTCCTCCTTTAAAGCGCTCCATGGCATAGGACCCGGGTACCTCCGAGACCGTCTTCTGCCACCAATAGCCTCCCACCGACCAGTCCGTTCCCACAGAGAGGGCCTCCTCAGGGTGCCATCAGCCAAGTTATGTCGGCTGGCGACACCCAGGGGGAGGGCCTTCTCTGTGGGAGACCCAGCCCTGTGGAATGAACTGCCCCCGGAAATTCGTAAGATCTCCGACCTCCGGGTGTTTCGCTGCGCATTGAAGACCCTGTTGTTCCGCCAGGCCGGACTATCAACACAATAGTTTTAAATTGGGGTATTTAAATTTATTGGGGTTTTAAATTTGAGCCACTTATTTAATTATTTTAAATTTTATATCATTGTTTTGTCTGTGTTTTTAAATAGGCTGTACACCGCCCTGAGTCCTTCGGGAGAAGGGCGGTATAGAAATAAAATTATTATTATTATTATTATTACTATGAAAACAGAACAAAGCTGAATTGTTAAACACAGTATCCAAATTCTGTGGCTGTTTGTCTGTCTAAGCTGTTGCGATAGTGTGCACAACAACGGTCCATGCGCAAAGCATCTCCAGCTATCAGCATGTGGCCAAATTCCCTTTTATACGCAGTGCCTCTAAATGTCCCGGTATCTTTCAGAGGCCAACAGGATAGGCAGCTCACACTTTCATCAGGTTGTGTGAATGACACAGTGGGGTCTTGCACTGACCTGGTGAACTGCGTTGGCGAATGTGGAAATATTTTAACAGCAAGACGGAGATAATGAATTTTGGCGCTTTATGAAATCTTTTGAAAACATGACAAGCAAAGGCACGCAGAACATCTAAAGTGCCATAGAAAGTTATCGGTAGAAATAGAAAGTTATAAATATAAATATTTTAAAACGTTGAGCACTATTTGAGCCGTGGTGGCGCAGTGGTTAGAGTGCAGTTGAGCAGGCTACTTTTGTTGACTGCTGATTGCCAGCAGTTCGGCAGTTTTCACCAGGCTCAAAGTTGACTCCGCCTTCCATCCTTCTGAGGTCGGTAAAATGAGGACCCAGATTGTTGGGGGGAAATATGCTGACTCTGTAAACTGCTTAGAGAGGGCTGGAAAGCTACTGCTATTTTCCTTCCTTCCTTCCTTCCTTCCTTCCTTCCTTCCTTCCTTCCTTCCTTCCTTCCTTCCTTCCTTCCTTCCTTCCTTCCTTCCTTCCTTCCTTTCCTTCCTTCCTGTTAGAATGCAGCATTGCAGGTTAAATCTGCTGACTGCCAGCAGTTCGATCCTGACCCGCTCAAGGTTGACTCAGCCTTCTATCCTTCCGAGGTGGGTAAAATGAGGAGCCAGATTGTTGGGAGCAAGAGGTTGACTCTGTGAATCGCTTAGAGAGGGCTGTGAAGCACGGTGAAGCAGTAGATAAGTCTAACTGCTATCGCTATTATTTGTGGGTCAGCAAGAAGGAAAGGATTCCACTGGAATCCTCTGATGCAGACTTTAAAAGAGGTGAAGAAATGTCATGAAGTTAAGTCTTTTCCTTCCATTTTTGCCAATAACATCTCATTTAAATCATCAGTATTATTATGGTTTGTTGCACAGTCAGCCAGATGTTTAGACTGAGTTTTGCACTTTTGTTCATTTTTCATGTCCTTCCCAAGGATCTCAAACAGATGGATGTTGGTGTACAAGGGTATTAAAGGCATCATTGAAGGATGTAAGGTTGTTGTTGTTGTTGTTGTTGTTGTTGTTGTTGTTGTTGTTGTTGTTGTTATTATTATTTTATCTCTTTTATTCATTAAACATGAAACTCAGTCAAATGAACATTTAAAAATGGGTCACAAATACCATTGACTGGTGCTAATGGTTGATATGGGTTGCTGCCAGCATCCTAGGGATCAAGCAAGTACCTTCTTAAAATATATGATGTTCCGAGTAGTGCACTTTTTTTTGCAGTTCTGCTGGTTTTATTGCAGGAAGCTGCAATTTCTTGATGTGTTTTGTAAAATTCTTGGACATGGTACCAAGTGCCCCGATGACAATGGGTATCACTGTCATATGTTTCATCCATAATAACATCATATTTTGTGATTTTTTTCCAGTTCTTTTTCTTCGACTCTGGCGTCTACTGGTACAGCGATATCAATAAATTGTACACTTTGGATTATTATTATTATTATTATTATTATTATTATTATTATTATTATTATTTATTGTCGGTCAATCACCCAGATGTTCAGGCTGGATTTGGTATTTTTGTCCACCCATTGAGTCCTTCCCAAGGAGCTGGGATAGGCTGATGGGGATCTTTGACAGTATTACAGGTATGTTCTAATAAAGCTGCTGTCAAGTTTCCGAAAGATCTCAGTTCTCCCTCCCTCCCTCCTGCTCATGGCAACTTGAAAGCTTTGCAAGTTGACAGCTGCCTTTTGCAATTGACTAATAAGTGAATTTGTCAATGTCGAAAATGTTCAAGTGGTGCTCCAGATGTGCTGCGATTGCACTCAAGGCATCTATGATGACATATTATCAGGATTACCTTTGCTTTCCTTTGCCACAGCCATTCTATTTCTGTTTGGAGGTCTTTGTATTTATGATTCATAGGCTAGGATAATGTGACGTTTTACAGAAAACCATCCGGTGGTGTCAGTGGGCCGAGTAACCAAAGATGTAAACCTGCCATTCTCCAGATTGGCAGGATTTAAAAACCTTGAAGATGGAGATTACGCCACCAAATTCATCCAATGCACCAGGGATCCAAATTGGGGTTTGTCCATTTTCAGATTTTTGCCAGAGACGATGTTGTGAAGCTGAGCTGCCCAATTGATCTGGCTGACTGTTCCTGAGAAACTGCCACTACTTTGATGGGCAAAAGAGCTTTTCCAAGAAGGTGGGGGGGGGACCTGATGGTCTGTATCTGCACCCTTAAAAGCACCCCACCCTTTCCTAGAAAGACAGCCCCCCCTCCCCCAAATGCCCTGCTGCTGCTGCAAAATCCAGGATCACTTAGTTGCTCTGCATTTGGACAGCCTCCTGGGGACGCAGGGAATCGATCCCCATTCCTCCTCCCCCCCCCATGGAAAGGGCTCTGGGGACCCGCCAGAAGGCCAGTTCCAGGCTGCCGCAGCCTCTCCTTCTGCTGCTCGCCACCCCTCACTGTCTCCCCCTCCCCATTCCCGACCGGAGGGGGGGTCTGAGGCCGTCTGTGTGTGTTTGTAAGAGGGAGCAGGCCGATTAATCAGGGGGGAAAGTGTGAACATGCTGTCGCTTTCCCCAGCCCGTCTGTGGTGCCCATTGTGGTGGGGCCCGTCCATCGTCCCGCAACATATGGAGGGCATTGTGATCTTGCCCGGTGGCAACCCACTTCCTGGGAGGCGACAGCTTGGGCGCCTCCATCACATCCAACCTGGCTCCTTTGTGCTTAAGTGGCCTTCACAGACGGACAGAGCAAGCTGCTTTCGGTAGCTCTCGGCCAACGAAAATCCCAGGACAAAAATGTCTGTTCACTTTGCGTTCCTCTAAGAGGGCAGCTGCCTCACCTGGAAGTGCCAGGGTACTAGCGAGAGGTCGTTGAGGTCAAAAGTCAGGGAAACTGGCCGGGACAGATGCTGGATTTCCAGATTTCTGGGCTCAGTGTAAATCAAGTGGGATGCTTGCTCTGTTGAGCTGACCTATTGTACTAACAAAGGTGTTGCCTGACCCTTACTAACTAGGGCAAAGCACAGAGAAAAGGTTGCTCATCTTGAGGGTGGGATGCAAGCAAAACCCTCAAAGTTTGGGGGACACAGCCCACCCCCTTTGCTTAAGAACAGGAAGTGATGCCTGACTCCCACATCAGACATCAGGCTGTTTTTTAAGTCTGTGTTCTTCAAATTGGGTAAATTTCAAACAGGTGGACTTCAACTCCCAGAACTCAACTCCCACTGCTCTACAAGACAGGACCATCGACAAGGTATCCGCAATGTGTTTCTAGCCATCATCTTTACTAATGATTTCCTTTATTCAAGAAAGGAAAGAGGCCTGGTTTTTTGTCTGGTTCAGGCCTCTGGTTTTTCTCAAGGGGATTGTGGGGAGGGGGCTGCTCAGCGTTTTCTTTCTTTGCTGGTAGAGGGCTTCCGGCTGCTGCGGGAACTCTTGGGGACCTTCTGGCTGGTCCCAGAGAAGGAGCCCATGAGGGAGGAGATTTTCCTGGAAGCCTGGCTCACAACTGGAGAGGAAGGGAAGAGAAGAGACAAGAGAAGAGAAGATCTGTAGCTCCAGGTTGAACTGGGGGATCCTTGGTGCTCTCTGGGCTTGGCTGTTTTCTCACAGGCCTTTCATGACCCAACTAGGTAACATCATCAGTGCCAGAAGGGAGTGGGGTTTGTAGGGGAGGGAGGGAGGGAGGGAGGGAGGAAGATTGTGGGGTTCTTGGTCTTCTCTGAGCTTGGCTGTTTTCTTGCAGACCTTTCATGAGCCAACTAGATAACATCATCAGTGCTAGAAGGGGGTGTGATATGTGGAGAGGAGGAGAGGGAGGGGGAGGAGGAGAAAGTCAGAATATTAATGACTGGGAAGACATGGTAACAAGGTCAGCCAATGAATAGGCATAGTAACTAAATCAGCCAATTGGAAGCTGAGACAGACTGGAGCCAGGGCGTGTCTTAGTCTGCAGCTTCTGAGTCTGTGCAGAGAAAAGAGAAACTGAAACCAGTGTGTGTGTGTGAACTTGTCTGCAGATCTGAGCTGAAATGAGACTGTGAATCTGTTGTTGGCATTGTAAACTTACTTCATGTGTTATTGTGTATATAAAGAACTTAATGAATCCTGCTGCATCAGTTTATCTGTGTGTGCTTCTGGATTTGATTTTGCAACAAACTCTGACAGAGGAGGAGGAGGAAGATTGTGGGTTTCTTGGTGTTCCCTGAGCTTGGTGGTTTTCTTGCAGACCTTTCATTACCTGACTAGGTAACATCATCAGTGCTAGAAAGGAGTGGGGTTTGAAGAGAGGAAGAGGACAACTGTGCTATCCTTGGGGCTGAGTGTAGTGGAGTGAAGGAGGGAAGAGGAGGAGGAGAAGGAGGACTGTGGAGTCCTTGGTGCTCTCTGAACTTGGTGGCTTTCTTGCAGATGTTTCATTACCCCACTAGGTAACATCTTCAGTGTTAGAAAGGAGTGGAGTTTGCTCCCTGTTTATATCCAATTGTTTGCCCTGCCAGTGTTAGTGGGCTGTGGTTTTCTCCTTGGTGGTTCCATGACTGGTGTGGAGCCGTGATGGTGAACCTATGGTGTGCATGCCAGAGGTGGCATGCACGTGCGCCATCGCCAGGTGCTCTTCTGGGTTCCATCATGCGCATGCGCTGGACAGCTGGTCAGGCGTGCATATGCACCGGCCAGCTGCTCTCTTCCGGGGTCCGGCAGTCCGGCACGTGCCCATGCACGCACTCCAGTTTTGGCACTCAGTGCCAAAAAGGTTAACCATCCCTGGTGCAGGGTCTCCTGTTTGAGCAGAGGGCTGGACTAGAAGACCTCCAAGCCCCCTTCCAACTTTGTGATTCTGCGATTCTGAGTCCGGCAGCCTTGCTTACCTCTCTTGGACGAATGGCTTCGGCGAGATCGGCTCGACTTGCTTCGGGGTTTGCTTTTTCTGCAAGAGGAACGGTTTTCATCAGAACTCCCACCCGTCTCGTTCCCATGCTGGCCCACTCACCAATTCGCCCACTGGTGCTGCCGGACATCCAGCCAGGGTGCAGTGGACGGTGCCCTTTTTGCCCTTCATCGTGTCGTTCCGAAACACACGGAGGGAAAAAAAGGTTTGCTGCTCATTTGTGGAGTTAGGACAGACGCAGGGTAAGGAATGGTGGGAGGCTTTGCTGAAACAGGGAAGGTTGATGGTTTGAATTCTGAGTTGAAAGCTGATTGCTGAAGGGGGGAAGAGCAGGAATAATGGAAATAAATGCACACAGAGAATAAATAGAATGCGAAGCAAAAGGTTCAGCTTTGCAAGGTATGTGGACTTCAACTCCCAGAATTCCCCAGCTAAGTGACATCATCAGTGCTAGAAGGGAGTGGGGTGTCTGGAGTGAAGGAGGAGGAGAAAGGGAGGAAGAGGAGGAGGAGGACTGTGGGGTCCTTGGTGCTCTCTGAACTTGGTTGTTTTCATGCAGACGTTTCATTACCCAACTAAGTAACATCATCAGTGCTATTAAGTGTGGGATTTGTTGCCTCTTTAGCTGTTTAGATGACAGTACCTTGCCCTGCCAGTATTGGGGTGGGGTTGTTTCTCCTTGGGAGTTCCTTGATTGGAGTATTGTTTTCCATAGGATTGTTTGTCTGGTCTTAATCCCTGCTTGCCCATTAAAGGTTATGTTTTCTGGCCTGATGTTGTTACCTAGCTGGGTTATGAAACGTCTGCAGGAAAACAGCCAGAGTGCCCCGAGGGGGACACCGCCCCCCCCGCATTTGACCCTCATCTGGCAGTTTCCATGAGGTACCTTTGAGCTCCTGCCCCGTGGGCCACCTCCGGGGTCTCCTTCGGAGCATCTTTGGTCTCGTTTCTGCTGATGGGTAACAGCGCCATGGAGTTCTCCTTCTTCCTTTCCCTCCAGGGCTCCTCCATGGAGCTGTGGGCCTCCAGAGGGAAAGGGCTCTCCAGCCTCTCTTGGATGGCCACCAAGGTCGGGGTGGGGCTTGTGGAGACGCTGGGAGTGTCCAGGAAGTCCATTGTGTTGCCAGGGCTGTCCAGGATCTCTTCCTGCAGGGTGCTCAGCACTTCTGCGATGGAGATCTCCCTCTCCTCCGAGGCCTGGGTGGCAGAACTCTGTCAGGGCAGAAGAGAAGTGATGTGGTGGGGGGGACCCTCCCCCCAAGAGGGCTGGTCCAGAGCAGCCTTCTCCAAGCAGGCGCCCTCCAGATCTCCCAAAACTCCCCAGCCAGTTTGCCAACTCACGATGGTTGCTTGGGGGGCTAAATCCCCAGACTTCCATGGGTCTTGGCGCCACTTATCCTGGTTAATGTCCGAGGGGGGCCGAAGGAGATGGACCACCTTGACCCACAAGTCAAAGTTGTCCTTCTGGTTGTCTGCTGGGGGACAAAGCTGGAGGTAGAAGGTGCGGCCGGTCACCATCTTGAATCGCAGCTGCTTCTTCTCCTGGTCGTGGATGGTGATTTTGACGAAGCACAACGGAAGGAGCCTAAGGGGGGAGGGAAGACTGTGGGGAGGGGCCTGCAACTGGCTCATGCAACGGGGGGGGGGGCTTGCCCTGGGCCACCTCCCTCCATCCTGTTTATCTCATTGATTTATTTGCTGGGGCTTAGATGCTGTGGTAAAGAGAGTCTTTGTAGCTCAGGATTGGACTCTGGGGTCCTCGGTGCTCTCTGAGCTGGGCTATTTTCCTGCAGTCGTTTCATGACCCAACTAGGGAACATCATCAGTGCTAGAAGGGAGGGGGGTTGGCAGAGAGGAGGAGGAGGAGGATGGCAGCAATTGTGAGGTCCTGGGTGCTCTCTGAGCTTAGTGGTTTCATAACCTAACCTAAGATAACATCGTACTGGAATTGAGGGGTGTTTACTCTTTTTTACCCCAATCAAGGAACTACCAACTCAGATGAAAGAATCACCAAGAAGAAAGTAACACTCCTGCCAACACTGAGAGAACAAATCCCTCTACCTTCTAGCACTGATGTTGTTCACTAGTTGGGTCCTAAAACGTCTGCAAGAAAACAATCAAGAATAATAAGGATCCCATAGTCCTCCTCCTCCTCCTCCTCCTCTCCACAAACCCCACTCCCTTCTTGCACTGATGAAGTTACCTACTTTGGCAATGAAACGCCTGCAAAAGAAAACCACCAATCTCAGAGAGCCCCAGGGACCCCACAGGCAGCCCCTGACTTGCATCCATTTGGTGAGTGACCGTTCCAAATGACCACAGCATTATGCTGTCCAAAGCCCCTACAAGTAGCGAGTCCACTAGCGTTTGAGTCCCTCTTAACAAGCTCCAGGAGTTCCAAGCTTTGGCAAAGCTGGCCGAAGAGTTTTCCTGCCAGGCGTGGTGAGCATCTCTTCCCAAAGCCGGTCCTAATTGCTTCGGAGTACAACGAAGGCACGGCCAAGGGAGGGACCACGAAAACGCAGCCCAGCCCAAAGAAGGGAGGGGAGAGATGGCCGGAGAGCCTTACCTGGTGAGCTCAAACTTCCTGTTCCGAGCACGGGGGCGATACCTGTGCTGCAGGTTGGGTGGCAGCTGTTGAGGGAGGAGGACCGGCCGGGCCAGCAGGAGAATGTCGGGCACCGGAAGGCCCGGGCTGGTGGCTGCAATGGCGACACGCACCTGCTGCACCTGATTGTGCACATCGAGAATGCCACCTTGCTTGCTGACCTGAAAGACACAGAGGGGGGCGGCCTGCAAACCGTGGTTGGAATCATCCCCTTTTTTTTCTTGCCTTCCTGAGTAGGAGATGAAGTCCGCCCATGTGGCCAAGGTTGAGAAACACAGAACAGGTAGTCCTCGGCTTACAACCATTCGCTTAGTGACCAAAGTTAAAACAGCATTGAAAACAGGGACCTCTATGCCTGTTTTCCACACAACCATTGCAGCATCCCCCATGGCTGACATGATCAAAATTAGGGCACTTGGCCACTGGCATGGATTTGGGAGGGTTGCAGCATCCTGGGGTCATCTGGTCGTCCTTTGTAACCTTCCCAGCTGGCTTCCGACAAGCCAAGTCAGTGAGGAAGCCAGATTCACTTAACGACTGCAGTTTTGCTTAACAACGGTGGTGAAAAAGGTCATAAAATGGGGCAAAACTCACTTAACAACTGCTAAAAATTTCAGACTAACTTGTGGTCATACGTTGAGGACTACCTTAACAGATTTAACAGATTAACAGAGTTGTGGGTCATCTAGTCCAACCCCCACCCCCCCAAGCAGGAGACCCTGCACCATTTCTGACAGAGGGCAGCCCAGTCTCCTCTTGAAAGCCTCCAGGGATGGAGCTCCCACAACTTCTGAATAACAGAATAACAGAGTTGGAAGGGACCTTGGAGGTCCTCTAGTCCAGCCTCCAGGGATGAAGCTCCCACAACTTCCGAAGGCAGCCTCTGTTCCATGGGTTGGTTGTTTTTTTATAGTGTGGTGACCAAAACTGGATGCAGGATTCCAGGTGTGGCCTTACTAAAGGCTTTATAGAGTGGAGTTAGTACGTCCCTTGATCTTGATTGTATCCCTCTGTTAATGCAACTTAGCACTGTCCTGTCCTGTTTTCCATCAAAAGAAGAAAAAAGTCAAACTAAAACTAAAACTAAAATTCACATTGCACAAATGCCATGATTGAGCCGGGGTCCCAGAGGGTCTCAGGGGTCCAGGCTAGGTTTCAGGGTAAACAAGCCCCCTCCACCCCCGGATGGCATTCTGACAATCTCCCATCCTGGAAGCAAGGAAACCTCCTTCAAAACCACCCCAGGGAATGCCAGCCTCATATCCAGTGGCAATCTGTTCTGCAGCCCAACTTATTCTAATGTAAAAAACCCCCAAAAACCTCCCTGGATCAGTCCCAAATTTTCCTGCTTTCTGGCTCAAGGGGTAACCCCAGTTGCAACCTTGGCAGGGCAGGATTCACCCGTCTCCCTGCCCACACTTGCCAAGCAGTTTGCCAAGAATGCCTGGTATCATCGGCTTCTAGTGGTCCACCAGCAACCTGCGGACCTGGCAGCGGACAGTAAGGAGGCTGGGGAGGACAATGAGCCAGTCCTGGAGGCTGGGGAAGGCCCGGATGAGGGCTCTGCGTCAGAGGCAGAGGTGGGGCCAGGGCCATCTGGGAGCGATGCACGGCTTCCGGAGCCTCCAGAGGCGGATAGCAGAAAGGGAGAGGAACAAGAGGAGCCTGTTCCTAGTGCACGCATGCGAAGAGCTGCCAGAAGGCAAGAGCAGCTAAAGCAAAAAGGACGACTCGGGAGTAAAGCCAGGAGATGATTGGCCCCTCCCATAAGGCTTAAAAGAGCAGCAATGAGCCATTGGGTTCTTTGTAGAAAAGCAACGTTGATTCCAGTGCTTCTTGTCAGCGTCTCTTGAACTTTGTGGAGTTTTTGCCAAGAAAAGCTTTGGCCGGTGGCCAAAGACATGAAAAGTTGGTGATAAGGCTGACAGACTGGTTATTAAGAATTTTGTTTTGGACTAAGCTGAGAATGAATTAATTCTCAGCTGTTTTAATAAAAGTAATCACTATTTGGGCCTCGGTCACAACATGGCCCCTCTCGGACCCCTTTCCGTGAGGCATCCTTGGCCCCTCGCTGTCCTTTCCTTGGGAGAGCTGCTCCTTTGGGATCCCTGTCCTGCAGGTTGGGGAAGCTAAGAGATCACCTGGGAGACCTCATGGAGGATCACTGCTATCTGTGGGGAGGGAGAGCAGCCGGAAGGAAGTGACGGGATCTGGCCATGGCAAGTGGGGAATTGTGGCTCCCTCTGCAGATAGTCCTTGACTTACGACCGCAACGGGAACCTCCGTCACTGAGTGATGAAATTGTTAAAGTGAGTCATTGTGTGACTGCACTAGAATTTTTTTTATAATGTTGTTAAGTGAATCATGCCATCATTAAATGAATCTGATTTTTTCCACTGACTTTGCTTGTTGGAAACCAGTAATTGGGGGAATCATGTGATTCCAGGATGTTTATTTATTTTATTTATTTATTTATTTAATTTGTATACCGCCCTTCTCCCAGAAGGGACTCAGGGCGGTGAACAGCCAAAATTAAAAAACATACAAATGCAAAAGTTAAGATAATTAAAAGAATTAAATCATTGGCTACCCAAATTTAAAACCCCAAATCCATAAAATTTAAAATCCCAATTAAAAACCATTTAGGCTAGGCCGGCTTGATGAAATAAAAATGTCTTCAGGGCTTTACGGAAGGTCCGGAGGTCCGGGATCAATCGTATTCCAGGAGGCAGCTCATTCCACAGGGCGGGTGCCCCCACAGAGAAGGCTCGCCCCCTGGGGGCCGCCAGCCGACATTGCCTGACCGACGGCACCCCGAGGAGGCCCTCTCTGTGAGAGCGTATTGGCCGGTGGGAGGTTATCGGTAGCAGCAGGCGGTCTCGCAAATACCCTGGCCCTAAGCCATGGAGCGCTTTAAAGATGAGAACCAACACCTTAAAGCGCACCCGGAAGACCACCGGGAGCCAATGTAGCTCGCGCAGGAGAGGTGTTACGTGGGAGCCCACGTCGCTCCCATAATCACCCGCGCGGCCGCATTCTGCACCAGCTGGAGCCTCCGGGTGCTCCTCAGGGGGAGCCCCATGTAGAGAGCGTTACAGTAGTCCAGGCGTGACGTAACCAAGGCATGAGTGACTGTGCACAAGGATCCAGAAAGGGGCGCAACTGGCGTATCAGGCGAACCTGATAAAAAGCCCCCCTGGCCATGGCCGTCATATGCTCTTCTAAAGACAGCCGTGTGTCCAGGAGAACGCCCAAGTTGCGGGCCCTTTCCGTGGGGGCCAATGATTCACCCCCAATAGCCAGCGATGGCACCAGCTGGCTATACCGGGACGCCGGCATCCACAGCCACTCGGTCTTGGAAGGGTTGAGCCGAAGCCTGTTCCTCCCCATCCAGACCCGCACGGCCTCCAGACACTGGGACATCACTTCGAGGGCATCATTGGGGTGGTCTGGGGTGGAGATGTACAGCTGAGTGTCATCAGCGTACAGATGGCATCGCACCCCAAAACCACGGATGATCTCACCCAGCGGCTGGGTGGGATGTTGGGATGTTGGGATGCCATCAATGCAGGCCAGGTGCAAAAATTGTGATCAGGTGAGTGTGGGGACACTGCAATGAAGAGAACAGAACAGAGTTGCGAGGGACTTTGGAGGCCTTCTAGTCCAACCCCCTGTGCAAGCAGGAGACCCTAGACCATTTCAGACAAGTGGATGTCCAGTTTCTTCTTAAAAACCTCCAGTGCTGGAGCACCCACAACTTCCGGTGGCAAGCTGTTCCACTGGTTAATTGTCCTCACTGTTAGGAAGTTTCTCCTTAATTCCCGGTTGATTAGTTTCTCATCTTGCCTTCTGGAGAATAGGGTGACCCTCTCTTCTTTGGGGCAACCCCTTAGATATTGGAAGACTGCAACGGTTGTAAGTGGGAGGACTGGTCACATTTTTCAGCACCGTCCTAACTTTGAAAGGTTGCTAAACGAATGCTCCTAAATCCAGTATTCCTGAGCATGGCTGCTTCCTGGGGGGCTGGATGGGGCCACGGCTACCTCCCCGGCTGCTTCTGCCCCCTGCCCTCTTACCTGGACGAAGTCGCTTTCAAACATGGCAGCGCACTTGAGCAGGTTGTATTCGCCCAGGCGCAGCTGGCGCTGCAGTGGTCCCATGTTGGTGTTGAAGAGGCCTCGGCCGCTGGTGGGGTTCTTGGGGGCCTTGGGTGCTTCCATCACCTTGGCTCCTTCCAGGCCTGCCTGGGAAGAGGGGGCAGCGATTGGAAGAGGGCAGGAGCCGGGCCCAGCCCAAGAACGACAGAGGACAGTCCATCCGGGCTCTGGTTCTTTATTTCCTTGCACACAATTGGCAGACTCTTGCCGGACTAAATAGCAATAGCATTGTAGGCTTGGATTATACCGCCCCCTAGTGCTTTAGAGACTCTCTGGGCTTTGACAATGTCAAAGCTTTATTTGCATCTTGCCCCCAAGAATCTGGGTCCTCATTTTACTGACCTCGGAAGGATGGAAGGCAGAGGCAAGCCTGAACCCCATCAGGATCAAACACCCAGACTGTGGGCAGAGTTTGTCTGCAATGCAGTACTTTAACCACTGTGCCACCAGGGTTCCTTTGCTATTAAACTTTTACTACTCTAAGATATCCCAAAGGGGCTTTTTCAGGAGGCAACTGGACTTTCTGGTTTTTTTCTTTGAAGACGTTTCGCTTCTCATCCAAGAAGCTTCTTCAGCTCTAACAGGATGGTGGGGAAGGGAAGGATTTATAGCCCTTGCAGACAGCTGGCCGTTTGCATCCTTTTAGGCGGTCATTGAGGGAGGTTTGTCTCTGTCCTCAGGGTCACCTGAATGGTGCAAACGGTTCCTGTAGTCTGCAATTTTTTTCCTCTGGAAATCCATTCCTGTTCCCACACCATTCCAAGAGTGTCCATCCCAAATTGCATAACTAAAAATCTATAGAGATTTTCGGTCCTCCAGGTCCTGGTTGTCCCAAAGGAGCTTTTTTCAGGAGGCAACTGGACTTTCTGCTTTTTCTTTGGAGACATTTTGCTTCTCATCCAAGAAATGTCTTCAGCTCTGATAGTTTTCAAAAAAAAAAAAAAAAAACCTGAAAAAGCACCTTTGGGACAACCAGGACCTGGAGGACTGAGAATTTTTACAGACCTTTTACTCTAAAGTTTACTCTGGGAGATTCTAGGGAGTGGCTCTCCTAAGCCGCTTCGTCTTCGGGCTGTGCTGCCTCTCGTCTCGCCCTCCTCCTTGTCACCTGCTCCCTTCTTCCTGGGAAATTGCTGCGTCACTGTAATCCATCCCACCCCTCCACCTTCCTAGGCACTATCCCACCCAGCAGGTGATGCTCTGAAGCAGGACTCTCCAAACTTGGCAACTTTGAAGACGTGTGGATTTCGACTCCTAGAATTGGAATGGGGAATTATACGGCCAACTATGCTGGCTGGGGAATTCTGGGAGTTGAAGTCCACATGTCTTAACGTTGCCAAGTTTGGAGAGCCCTGCTCTGGATCAAGGCAGAGCTAGCAGATACAGATACAGATTAACAGAGTTGGAAGGGACCTTGTAGGTCATCTAGTCCAACCCCCCACCCAAGCAGACCCTACACCATAGCAAGGTTGAGAGGGGGCATAAATGCCACCGAATGTTGCCCAGAGAGCCCCATTCAGCTCTCTCTGCCTAGCCAGGCTACTGTTTGGCTGGGGAGCATGGGAACCTGGATTCCTTATGGTGCTTTCTGTGCCAGATCTCCAGGCATATGGCATGGATGAAGCAGAATAGGGATGTCTTCCCTAAGAGGCACGGGTGAAATCCAGCAGGTTCTGACAGGTTCTGGAGAACCGGTAGCGGAAATTTTGAGTAGTTCGGAGAACTGCCAAATATCACCTCTGGCTGGTCCCAGAGTGGGGTGGGAATGGAGATTTTGCAGTATCCTTCCCCTGCCACGCCCATCAAGCCCACCAAGTCACGCCCACAGAACCGGTAGCGACAATTTTTAGATTTCACCACTGCTAAGTGGGCATCTTGAACCGTGGTGGCGCAGTGGTGAGAATGCAGTATTTCAGGCTGACTCTGCCAGCAACTCGATCCTGACTGGCTCAAGGTTGACTCAGCCTTCCATCCTTCCCAGGTTGATAAAAGAGGACCCAGATTATCAACCTGCTGACTCTGTAAAACCACTTAGATAGGGCTGCAAAGCACTGTGAAGAGGTATATAAGTCCAAGTGCTATGGCTGTCTTGCTGGCAACTCATGCCGAGAAGCGCCATCTCCCCTCTCCCTGCCTCCCCTCAAGAGTCTTCAGCTGCCCAAGGGGAGACGTCTGGAAGGGGCATGGTTTGAAATAATGGGGGACCCCAGAAGTACCCTTCCATTCTGAGAAACAGAAGAAGCCCTTCTCGCCCCTTCGGAGAAGCTGACAAGCTCAAGAGCTGGCTTGCCCTTGACCCCGAGGGTCCCAGCCTCCGCCCCAATTGTCTGGGACTTTGGCCCCCCAGTCCTGGGCCGCTGGTCTGCCCACTACTGGGGCTGGGAAAGCTGGTGCCAACCTCCCCAAGAGGCCCTGGTGCCCCCCGCCCTGGCGAGGGCTGACCTGGGGTCTTTTGTGGGCCTGCCTGTTTGACCCGCGCCATCTCTCTCCCCTTGGCCATGGCTGATGGTGCTTCTGGGGCTGGGGGGCCGATGTCCGGCTCTCTCCCTCTGTGACCTCTGCCTCCATTGCCACGGAGACCCCTGCGGAACCCAGGCGCAAAGGGCTGTCCCACCTGGTCTGGAGCGCTGGGGATCTCGGCAAAGGGAGACAAGGCCGGGCCATCCGTTCTGCACCCCCAGGTTTTAAAAATGCTTTAAAAAGTAAAAAAAAAGAGGTTCTGATGATCACAGCTGTGCTGCATGATCGTTGGAACCTTTTAAAAACCTTTTTAAAGCATTTTTTTACTACCGGTTCGGGCGAATAGGTAGTAAATATGCTTTAAAAAGTAGAAAAAGCAGTTAGCCATGCCCACACAGTCATATGACCCCCCCAAGCCACGCCCACCAAGCCACGCCCACAGAACCGGTAGCAAAAAAATTTGCATTTCACCACTGAGTTGGGGTGTATGTGGCAGCTGGAGACTGAGGGAGAGGGCTGGGTGTGAAAGCAAGAGGTTTGCCTCCCTGCCCATCGCTTAGGACCCCCTTGACCAGTGGTGAAATCCAATTTTTTTTACTACCAGTTCTGTGGCTGTGGCATGGTGGACGTGGCAGGGGAAGGATACTGCAAAATCTCCATTCCCACCCCACTCTGGGGCCAGCCAGATTTGCCGGTTCCCCGAACTGCCCAAAATTTCCACTACCGGTTCTCCAGAACCTGTCAGAACCTGCTGGATTTCACCCTTGCCCTTGACCTCTCTGGTCATCACCATGCAAAAAAGATGTTGAGATTCTGGAAAGAGTGCAGAGAAGAGCAGCCAAGAGGATGAAGGGCTGGAGGCTCAAACATTTGAAGAACGGTTGTTGGAATTAGGTATGTCTAATTTAATGAAGAGAAGGACTAGGTGCAGAAAGACATGGAGACTTGGAAAAAACTGCAGCTGTCTCTACTTGGAAGAATAGCAGCAGTTAAGATGAATATTTTGCCAAGTTTTCTGTTTTTGTTTCAAATGATTCCAGTGCTTAAAAGTGATAAACAACTGAAAGTTTGGCAGTCTGGTGTGAATAAGTTTGTCTGGAACGAGAAGAAGCCGAGAGTGAAATTGAAAATTATGCAAGATGTTCCAGAAAGAGGAGGCCTTAAACTCCCAAACCTACAGTTATATTATGATGCAGCAGCTTTAACTTTAACAAGTGATTGGTTTGGAAGTAAAAAGACTGGAATATTGAATGCAGAAAGTTTTGATCTTGAATTTGGATGGCATGCTTATTTATTTTACGACGATAAAGTAGATAAAGTATTTAAAAGTCATATACTTAGAGACTTTTTGATGAGAGTTTGGAAGAAGCACCGACTCAAATGGGATTACAAAATACCGCTATGGCTGGATCTTGGTCATACTTTGTGGAATACAAATATAATGTCACTCGGGGGGTTTTTATATAAAGAGGTTCTTTTTACAGATGCGGGCAGATGGCAGCTGAAGACATTACAGACACTGTTGGATGAAGGGTTTAATTTAACTTGGTTACAATACAATCAACTACAACTGAGATGGAAAGAGGACCAAAAAACTGGTATTATGTTGCATGAGGAAGAATTGGTTAGACATATAAGAGAGAAAGGTCCAATGCATATTAAAAGGCTTTATAATGTTTTGTTAGAAAGAGATTCAGAAACGGAATTAGTTAAAGATTGTATGATTAAGTGGGCACAGAATTTTGAAGAACCAGTGATGCTGGAAACTTGGGAAAAAATTTGGGTTCAGAATGTTAAATTTACACAGTCGCAAAACCTGAGAGAAAATTTTTATAAAATGTTTTATAGATGGCATTTAGATCCTAAAAAGTTGTCATGTATGTACCCTAATGTTCAGCCAAAATGTTGGAGATGCGAATGTTTGGATGCTACGTATTATCATGTTTGGTGGACCTGTAGGAAAGTTAAGGCTTTTTGGATAAAAATTTGGTGGGTCATGCAGAATGTTTTGAGGAAAAAAATTCAATTTTCTCCACAGTTGTTTTTACTGGGTATAGTTAAGGGTTTTACACGGGGTGAAACAAAACTGATATTGTATATGATAACAGCAGCAAGATTGTTGATAGGTAAATACTGGAAGAATGAAGCTTTGCCCACTATCGAGGAATGGACTTTGAAGATGGCTAGTTTTGCAGAGATGGCGAAGATTTCAGCATATTTAAAAGACTGTTCACAAGAGACTTATGAATGGGAATGGAAAAGGTGGATAGAATATGTTCAGAACAAATACCAAACTAGAAAGTATCAAATAGCTTTTATTTGAAAATAATGTATTAGAAATATTTTAATGTAAAGAGACAAAGAGGAAAAATTATACAGGGGGAGGGATGGGTTCAAGCTTATATATCAGTGTTATTAGTTATGAGTACATAATAGGGAAGTCTGGGGGGGGAGGGTTAGGGAGGGTTAGGGAGGATGGGAAGTTTGGGGAGGGGGTGGTGGAAAAAAAGGGGTGAAAATGTAATTGTAAAACTTTTGCAATAAAAAAAAAAAAAGAGAGAAGGACTAGGTGACATGATAGCAGTATTCCAGTATTTGAGGGGCTGCCACCGAGAAAAGGGTCAACCTGTTCTGCAAAGCACCTGGAGGCAACGGATAGAACCTAATCAGGAGACAAGCAACCTGAACTAAGGAGAAATTTCTTGACAGGGAGAACAATCAATCAGTGGAAGAGCTTCCCTCCAGAAGTTGTAGATGCGTTGTTAAGAAGAGATTGGTCTGAATTGGTATAGGATCGCTTGCTTGAGCAGGAGGTTGGACTAGAAGACCTCCAAGGTCCCTCCCTGTTGTTCTGTCACAAAATCTCCAGTGCTGGGAGCACTCACAACTTCTGGAGGGAAGCCGGTCTTCCATTGGTTAATTGTTCTCACTGTCAAGACATTTCTCCTTATTAGTTCAAGGTTGCTTCTCTCCTTGGTGAGCTTCCAGCCATTACTTCTTTTATGATTAAAAAGTTTTACAAAAAAAATACAAAAATTTTCTTCCCCCCCATGTTCCCCCCACCCTTTCCCCCCCTCATTCCACCCTCCCCCCCAGTCTTCCCAGAGCAAAATACAAGGTATTTCATTTAATCAATCATAAACTAGATTAATCTACTTATCCTCAAAGTACTAACTCCCCCCCTGAAACCTTAACTCCACTATAGATAACCTAATACTTCTAATACTAACATTCATTCATAAGCTATTTGATATTTTCTTGTCTGATACTTATTTTGAATATAATCAATCCATCTTCTCCATTCCGATACGTATCTTTCTTGCGTGTGATCCTTCAAATACGCTGAGATTTTCGCCATTTCTGCTAGGTTTGTTACTTTCAATATCCACTCTTCAATAGTAGGCAAAGAGTCCTTCTTCCAATATTGAGGTACCAACAGCCTAGCTGCTGATATTAAGTTCAAAGTCAATTTAGTCTTTGATACTGTGCAGTCCGTAGTTATGCCCAATAGAAACAATTGAGGAGTAAATTTCAACCTTCTTTTCAAAATGTTCTGCATCACCCACCAAATTTTTATCCAAAATGCCTTGATTTTCTTACAGGTCCACCATATATTAATAGGTTGCATCATTACATTCACATCTCCAACATCTAGCTTGCAAATTCGAGTACATACATGATAATTTTTTAGGATCTAAGTGCCATCTATAAAACATTTTATAAAAATTCTCTCTCAGATTTTGTGCTTGCGTAAATTTAACGTTTCTGACCCAAATCTTTTCCCACATTTCCATCATCACTGGTTCCTGAAATTTTTGTGCCCATTTAATCATACAATCCTTAACCAATTCCGTTTCTGAATCTATTTCCAATAATGCATTATACAACCTTTTAATATGCATCTGACTTTGATCTCTAATCTGTTTCACCAGATTTTCCTCATTTTGCATAACCCCAATTTTTTGATCCTCCCTCCATCTAGCTTGAAGCTGACCATACTGAAACCAAGTGTAGATTATCCCTTCTTCTTTTAATTCATCTAGAGATTTCAGTTGCAATTTACCTACGGTGACCAGATTTTAACATTGGTAAAGAGGGACACCATTGTGGGCGTGGCTTATTTTGTGGGCGTGGCTTGGAGTTCATGTGACTGGGTGGGCATGGCTAGCTGGTCATGTGACCGGGTGGCCATGGCTATGTGCATATGGACTACTCAGAGGGCTGAAAAAAGTCACTTCTGACAGGTCCTCGCACTTTTGACTGGTCCTCACACTTATGACCATCCTCACATTTATGCCCGTGCAGCATTCTTAACAACCATGTCACTCATTTCACAACTGCTTCTCTTCACCATGGTGACAAGATAGCGCAAAAAACGTAAAATGTGAGGACAGTCGTAAGTTCGAGGACTGGTCAAAAGTGCGAGGACCAGTCAAAAATAACTTTTTCAGCCCTCTGAGTAGTCCATATGCACAAACGGACTAACCATGAAAAAAGTCACTTCTGACAGGTCCTCACACTTTTGACTGGTCCTCACACTTATGACCATCCTCACATTTATGCCCGTGCAGCATTCTTAACAACCATGTCACTCATTTCACAACTGCTTCTCTTCACCATGAGACAAGATAGGGCAAAAATGTAAAATGTGAGGACAGTCGTAAGTTCGAGGACTGGTCAAAAGTGCGAGGACCAGTCAAAAAAACTTTTTCAGCCCTCTGAGTAGTCCATATGCATAAAAGGATACAGCAATAGAGAGGGATGAAGAAGAAGGGAAATTAGAGTAGGAGTGAAGGTAAGAGAGGGAGGAAGAGAGGAGGAGAAGGAGAAAGGAAGAGGAAGTAGGGAGGAGAAGAAGAAGGGGAGGAAGAGAAAGTAAGAAGGAAAGAAAAGAGAGAGGTGGTAGGTTTGAGGAGAAAGATGGCTGTACAATAAAAAAGATGAAAGGGAAGAAAGCCAACCCCAAACAAATATAAAGATATTAAGATAAAGAATGAATTGTTAAACTTTAAAGAATAAAAGAGAACAAATATGAATAAATAGCAATAATTAGAAACACACATACAAACATACAATGTATTTTCTTTGAACAGAGTATTTGGCCGGTTCACAAATTTAAACAGTGTTTAGTCATTTCAATTAAATTTACAATTTCTATATTTCCTTTTTGCCATATTTATTCCTCATCTATTTTTGTAAAAAACCAATATTACCCTTCATCCTCATCTCTAATCTTAATCAAATTCAATTTTTCCCTTCTATTCTGCATTATACCCCTTCCCATTGTCATCTATTTTTATA